TGAAGCTGGAGAAGTGTAAATTTGAACGGATGCAGATCGACTACCTGGGTCTGGTCATCTCAGAGGGCAGCGTCGCGATGGACCCCGTAAAGATCCGTGGAGTCCTTGACTGGCCGACCCCAACCAAGGTGAAGGAAGTACAGTCCTTCCTAGGGTTCGTGAACTTTTACCATTGCTTCATCAAAGACTTCTCCGAGAAAGCACGGCCCCTCCATGCGCTAACCTGGAAGACCCAAACCTGGAACTGGGGCCCGGACGAGGACTATGCCTTCCGCACCCTCAAAGAAGCCGTCACCACCGCCCCCGTCCTCTCCTTCCCTACAGACACTGGCCGCTTCAGGCTCGAGTGTGACGCCTCTAACTTCGCAACCGGTGCAGTCCTCTCCCAACTCCAGGCGGACGGGGAGTTCCACCCGGTAGCATTCATGTCCAAGAGCTTCATGGATGTGGAGCGTAACTACGAGATATATGACAAGGAGATGCTCGCAATCGTCCGAGCCCTGGAAGAGTGGCGACACTTCTTAGAAGGTGCCGGGGAGAAGGTCGAAATCTACACTGACCACCGTAACCTGAGTTACTTCCGGACGGCCCAGAGGTTAAACCGGTGCCAGGCCCGGTGGACCCTCTTCCTCTCCCGCTTCTACTTCACCCTCGTCCACCGCCCAGGGAAACTCATGGGGAAGCCGGACGCACTCTCCTGTCGAGCTGACCACCCGAAAGGGAAGGATGACAACGAAGGGCTGACCCTCCTCCAACCAGCCTGGTTCGAAGCTCGCGCAACGGAGGCGGTCTCAGTAGAAGGGGAGGAAGCAGGCATCCTAGAGAGAATACGCGGGGCAAAAGACCACGATGAGAGGGTGGTAAAAGCTATACGAGAGCTGAGGGAAGGGACGCTAAGATCGGATGAGTGGGAGGAGCAGGGAGACCTAGTCCTATACCGGGGGAGAGTGTACGTTCCAAAAGACCCCCAACTCCGTCACGATCTGGTACGGCTACACCACGATGCACGGGCAACGGGGCATCCGGGGCGATGGAAAACCTTGGAACTCGTCTCCCGTGACTACTGGTGGCCCCGGATGGCAGAGTACGTCGGGCAATATGTACGCAGGTGCGATACTTGCAACCGTGTTAAGTCGTTCCCCTCACGAAAAGTTGGGAAGCTCACCCCAAACAAAGTCCCCACCCATCGTTGGCAGGTGATCTCAGTGGACATGGTAGGGGAGCTCCCAGAGTCAAAGGGATACAATGCCATCCTCGTAGTGGTGGACCGCCTATCCAAACGCATCCACGCGGTCCCCACTGTGACGACCGTGGACTCGGAGGGTATCGCACGGCTCTTCCTAGAGCACGTCTGGAGGCACCACAGGCACCCTGAGGAGATCCTCAGCGATAGAGGGAGCGCCTTCGTCTCCCGCTTCTCAAAGGAGCTCGCAGACCTCCTAGGTGTCAAGCTCACCCCCTCTGCGCCCTACCACCCCCAGATGGATGGACAGACCGAGCGGGTCAACCAAGAGATCGAGGCCTACCTCCGGGTGTTCATCAACCATCGCCAGGACGACTGGGCGGATTGGCTCCCCCTAGCGGAATTCTCTTATAATAACCGCATCCACTCCTCCACCCACCGAACCCCTTTCAAACTCGACACCGGCCAACACCCCAGGATGGGGACAGAACCCACACGCACGTCGGAGGTGGAAGCCGCTGATGCATTCTCGTCAAGGATGATGAAAATGCAGGAGGAGGCGAAAGCAGCACTGGAACATGCAGCGGACGAAATGGCCCGCTACTACGACCGAGATCGCGAGACAGCCCCAAAGTATCAAGAAGGTGACCAAGTCTGGCTCAACGCGCAAAACTACACGACCGACCACCCGACCAAAAAGTTGGACCACAAATGGCTTGGCCCCTTCAAGATCGTCAAAGTCGTCTCCCCGGCTGCCGTTGCAAGAGGGCTCACGGCTCTCTATGCCGACTAAGCTCGTGGGGCCAAACTCTCCCTAAACTCTACTTTCTCCACTAAACTTCGCTATGCTCAATCCTGAAACTCCGCGGTGGGTTCTCCGGGATTTCCGCAAGGTCCGGGCTCAGTGTCCACTACTCACTCGTTGTGAGCTAGATCACTGCCCTTATTCCTACTGTTGGAATTCCACACACTCACACCCTCTCTAGCGCGTCCTAGCACCTTAGAGAAAATGGGGGAGGGGAGAACTTCTTTTCACAAATCCGGTATGTACAGGATTATATCTAATAATTATTTTTAGAAATAATATATGAGAAATATTGGTGCCATATGGCACCTGGGTACCTTATTAGGCGAAATAATAAAAGAGGGTAACAGTATCAATAAAAGAATATCAATCAATAACTGAAATGATGGCAAAATATGAAAATAAAAGAAAATAAGCGATTTCTCAACGGATTTACGGAATTAAAGGCCAAAATTGGAAATGTGGCTGAATGGAACTATTACGCAGCCAATGAGCATTTTTACCAATTTATTAGACGCCGTGGGAACGAGTGAGGCTGGAATTCTGGGTTGCTCCTTGAGATTCCCACGCCCGCACATACTCGTGACCTGCTGTGCCTAACTTGTCCAACACAGAACTCCGTCAATTCTCCACCGATTAGGACGTTCTTGGTATCGATGGGATCGTAGGAATTAGTACTATTTTTAGATACCAAATCCGTGTCGAGTCGTTGTATGAATGAAAGGTGGTTTTCTAATCGTGGAAACGGGTATCCGAGCCGGCGCTGCGCGTGGGCGATTATCCTGCCTACACCGTCAAACTTCAACTTACCGCACAACAGAAAGGAGTCCACCCAGTCGTATCCGTGACAAACGTCAGACCATACCACCCGGACGACATCACGGAACGACCCACCGACCCACGCCCGGGCCCAGAGCTCGTAGACGGAGATGAAGAATATGAAGTCGAGAAAGTACTAGACTCTAAGTGGCTACGCCGGAAACTCTGGTATCTAGTGAAGTTTGCTGGCTGGCCAAACTCAGAGAACCAATGGCTCCAGCAGGACCACTTAGTCCACGCCCCCAACTGGATTGAGGAATTCCACAGGACGCACCCCCAGGCCCCGGGAAGAGAGAGGGAGAACCACCTGGCCGCTTCGAGGAGGGGGTGATGTCAGGGCACACCTGCCTGACCCGGCCCCACCCGGCCCCACTTCACCCGGTACCCTGCCACCCAGCCTTCCCCTACCTCCTCCCCCCTCTTCTTCCTTTCCTTCTTTCTCCATTCCACTCCCTCTTTACTTATTTCACCTTCTCTTTATTTTCTCTTTATTCTACACGGACGACCTTTCCTTGTATCAATGTACCATTGACCCACCCGCAGCGCGCTCACAACACACCCAGCCCGGGCGCCTCGGGCGACCCCCGCTATCTCCAGCTCGCGCGTTCACAGCGAACACCCTTGGGATCCCCCACGGGGACACCCGGGTGACTACGGCTGTATGCGAGGATGATGTGGCACCCGTCATGTGACCTAAGCCGCATGTATATAAACATACCTGAAGTGGGAACCGAAGAAGTAGCCTTCTTCTCACCCTTTCCCACTTCGGTCTGAGTGGCCAGGGACTGCCTCCTGAGCCGGGCCCGCCAGTATGCACGCCCGCTCTACACCCCGCGAGACTTCCAGTGTCGGGCGTCTCACCCGGGTCCCCTCTACCCCGGACGCGTCCCTGACAGACAGCTCCGAAAGCGGTGAGGTCCCGGTGCAAGGGACTTGATGGGACAGACGTCGGCTATGCATAGCGGCAGTCCCGTCGTGGGGTGAGTGTCCCTGACCACTTAGTCTGAAGTGGGAAGTTGAGAAGAAGGCTGCTTCTTCTGTTCCCACCCCAGGCACTATTATATACATGCAGTTGGGGTCACGTGGGAGGAGCCACGTCATCTCTGCACACAGCTGCACTCCCCTGGGTATCTCTGTGGGAGATCCCGGAGGTGTGCCGCTCTGTGAGTGGGAATGCATGCGGCGGGTGTGGTGATCGGGGAAGTGGGGTTAGGTGTGTAGTGATACATAGAGAAGGGGAAGTTGACCATGGAACGGAAATAGAAAGAAAGAAGGAAAGGGGAAAGAAGAAACAGGGAGTGATAGCGGGGGAGTGGAGTAGGGCGGTGCGGCACGGGGTCAGGTGGGGTGTGCCCTGACAACCATCCCTTTGTTCCCATTTGGATGCCTTTGTTCTGATTCAGACCCCCTTTGTTTCCCTTGTGCTTTCACCCTCTCCATTATATACCGGTGCTTGTACATACTCATTTTAGGCCCTTAGTCTAAAATCGACCTGAAATGCCCCCTAGAGACTTCCTGCTTGCTGCCTATGAAATTAAGGACCAAATGGACAAACGGCAATGGCACAGCGCTCTGCTTGAGTCACTGAGGCCAAGGTCCCTCCTTGCTAAGTCTCCGGTTCCCCTCCGGAATCGTCTGCCCTCGCCCAGTTCTAACATCATCCACCAACATTCCCTCAGTGTGGGGAACAGGGTTATGGGGCAGGGTGGGTTCTATTACCTGTGAATATGGCAATGGTGGATTATTATCCACTGTTGTGTAGTGAGGAGGTGGAACCTGGGGGGGGGGGGCCAAATGTCAGGGCCTGGCCTCGGACTCGGAGGCTCCCTGACCTCAACCCCCATCTAACCTGTCCTCACACTATGCGGGGCATGAGATGTATAGTAAAAGAAAGGGAATATATGCACTTGCCTATGCAGGGCATGAGATGAGAAGAAGGGTAAAGGTCTCATCTCCCCGCATGGTTGCTATATAAAGGAATGGGTCACATGCCCACAACTATACAGCTCCTAGAGTTGTGTAGTGTGACCCGGAGGGAACATCCAGGTGGCAGTGCCCAGTAAGCGTGGGAACGTTCTGGGCAAGTTGCTCGCCCAGAACTGTGGCTGTGACCCGTGGGAACATTCTGGGCGAGCTGCTCGCTCAGAAAGTTCCCACGCTATCCCGTGCGTGCGTGTACACAATGCACAAAGGCAACAACAAGGCAACAGTCAAAGAATAAAAGGGGGTAAAGTAGGTGGGGAGTCCGGGGCACCCTAAGGCAGGGTGCTGAACCCTGACACCAAAATGGCAGAAACTAGGTTCACTTACATGCAACGTATGCAGTGGTGCTAGTTGCCTTCATCATTTGAGCCACCTCTGAGCAGTAATGTTTCCAAAGGCAGCAAAGAAGGTACTTCTTCCCTGCCTTGATAGTGTTTTCAAAGTTTTGGGGATGATCCCCAAAACGTCCATCAAGTTCAGTGGCAGACACATTTTGTCCATTCACAGACTTCATGTCAAAAAACCGACCATGGAGTTGGTGAGCCTCCAGCATAGCACTGTCGAACCCATCCATCAAGCCATTTCAAGTCCACCATGAACTTGAACCCTTCAACTGAGTTCAAGAACAGGTGAACCCAGTTGTTCCACCACTTTTGGCAGCGGTTCCGACTCTCTGTTACTGGCCAGTTTTGGCCACTGATGGTGACACCAAAATGGAAGTCACCCTGGAAGAATGTACCTGGGATGAGGATGTTCCTCCAGGTCCCAGCAGGAGGGGAGCAATTTGCCTCTGTGAACCAGGAGTATCCCTCTGGGATTGATGAAGGACCAGGTGTCCCGCTGGTTTGAGGGGTGGGCACTGCTATGAGGCCAAAAGAAGATGAGGGCCCTTGAGGCCCGGGAGGGGGGATGGGAGCCACATGGTGGCCATAATGGCCATCCATGAGGCTGGTCAAAGGAACCTTCATCCATTTTGGGATGGGAGGTTGTGCAGCATGGTTATGCACCTCCACATTTGAAGCAGTCATAGGGACCACTGGTGCCCTATGCTGACTGTGTTGGTGTCAGGGATCAGCAATGACCCTGGACCCTATGCCGGCTGCGCGTATGCGCATGGGAAGTATGCTGGTAATTCCCGTCTACTCCGCTTACCTAAGCCCCGGTGACCCGGATCATCTCCGGCATTGTTCTGGAACATTCTATGATCACGTGATTCTATCGGCAATCTGTTTGGTTTCCTTATTGCCGGACTCTACATGTATATAGCTGACCCTAAGATGGGGACATCCCTTTCCCCCGGCTTTAATCACAACTAGGTTATCGGAGCACCTTGCGCGAGCACGCATGTCCCCTGACAGTTGGGATGGAGCGGGGGGCATACATACCATTGGCCCCAACATATGGGGTATCTTACAAGGGCAAGAGCCCTCAAGGACACTGACTTCTCTTTCTAAGCGATCGATTTCTTTCTCAAGGTTGTCGCATTTGTCTCGGAGCCAAGATTGGTGGTGAGAAGAATTTCTCAATTTGAGATCGAGATGAACGTTCTTGATCTCAAGCCCATGGAAATTCTCCTGAAGCTCCTTATTCTCATCTCAGAGGCTATTAGCCTCACCACAAGATCGGGAGAGTTCACCTTCCAAAAGGCAAACTTGTTGGCTTGCTTCCTTGAGAAGGTTGCCTATGCCTGGGGCAAACATTGGATATGGTGGCACCTGTATAGGCACCATCATTTCAGGGGCATAACTTTGCCCCAGGTATTGGGGCTCATCCGATGAATAGTCAGCTTGTGATTGAGTAAACTCACCTGTAACCAGAGACAACTGGCCAGATATGGCTGGAATAGGTGCTGGGTCTGCAGGTCACAAATCCAGTGGGAGCACTGAGTCTAGCTTGTTAATGCCAGGTGTTAACAGCCGATGAGGTGAGTCAGCTGGTGGCATGGACACATCAGCATCCATGGTGTCATTAGATGTGTGTGGACTTAACCCACAACCGGTGTCAGCAGTTGATGTCAGATCAGACATGAGGGCAGGAGAGAAGTGTCAGGGACGCATCCAGGGTCGAGGGGGCCCGGGGGTAATGCCTGGCACTGAGGCCATCACGGGGTGTGGAGTGGGCATGCATACTGATGGGCCCGATCCGGGACAATAGTCCCTGGCCACTCAGACTGAAGTGGGAACTGTGAGTTGTTATTAAAAGGGGAGGCTATGCTATGTACCTGAAGTGGGAACTGTGAGAAGAAGGTTACTTCTTCGGTTCCCACCCCAGGTACCTTTATGTACATGTGGCTTGGGTCACATGAGGTTTGCCACGTCACCCTGCATACAGCTGCAGTCATCTGGGTGTCCCCGTGGGGGATCCCGAGGGCATGTGCTGCACGCATGCGTGTTGGGTTGCACCACGAGGCCGTCTGGGTCGTCCAGGGCTGGGTGTGTCGTGCACACGTCACGGGCAGGTCAATAATACATAGGTATGGGGAAAGGTCGTCTGTGTAGATAAAAATAGAAGAAAGAACAAAGGAATAAAAGAACAAAAGGATAGAAAGAAGAACCAGAGTTGAGGAACCGTGATGAAGGGTGGGGAGTAGAGGTGAGCAGGATACCGGGTCAGGGTGGGTGGAGCTGGGTCAGGCAGGTGTGCCCTGACAAGAAGGAGCAAATTTCATCCATGGGAATATTAATGAACCCTCGGAAGCAATTTCCACGTATGGCAACTAACACCATAAACAGCCTTCTGATGGCCACAGGACCATTCCCAAGTGGGCAGGCCATCAGGAATGTTGGGGACAAGATGCCAAGGTGGCACTTCGTATATGAGGTGAGGGAAAGCAGCTTTCCCTGTTTAATCTCATGACTGCATCAACACCATGTAACACTAGATAGTCATCTAATGCAGTGAGTTCATCACAGTGAGACAAGGGTTCCCAAGTGAGATCCCTGAAGCCCCATTTAACACGGAACCACAGGCTATCATGTGTGTCCCATGCATGGTCCAAGATCTCTTGGACCTGGTATTCCTGCTCAGGGTCATCGCCAAAGTCATAGAAGATTTGGACAGCCCATCCCGGGAACAGTACAGAATTGTTTGGCTCATGCGGGGCCAAATGAGAGATGTGGAATTTGGGGAAAATTCCCCAATTCACAAGGTCTGGAGGGAGTTTGAGCATGTAATTTGACAAACCCTTGAATACTTCGAGGATTTTGTATGGCCTGACAAACTTAGGAAGAAGCTTTTTCACCCATCCCTTTGGGAGGTTCAGGTCCTTAGTTGATAAGTAGGTGAGATTGCCAACTTTTAGCTTAGGTGAATCTGGTTGCCTGAGCTTGTTCAACTGGATAGCCTGTTCCACATGACTCTTTATGATTGAGTTGTGGGCCCCCTGGAGGTTATCTAATGCTTGTTGAGCAAAAGTGCCCACTCCAGGGAGGTTTGTGGGCAGGACTTTGACCACCATACTGTCATATCCCGGAATCCCGACCCCGCGCTCTCCCACCACATCACACCTTCCTAACAACTTCATCATCCCCTACACCATAACTCCCCACTCCCCAAGTCACCTTCCTCCTTTACTGTCTTAGCTCCGGCCTGGTTGTGGCACACCTTACCTTGGCCACTCCCATCCCGGAAGCTCGGAACATCCGGAGATTCCGGATTTGCTCCGACCTCCCAATGGTTCTCCGACATCCCGTGACTTACCTCTAAACCTTTCCCCCTCCCATTTCATTTATTGGAGTCACCCAACATTCCTCAGATACGTTGTAACGGGTCTATCCAACTAGACTCGTGGCTCATCTAGGGGGGGTAGGTCTCTCTCTATCTCTCAGGTGGATGTGGGTCCTGCGAGTACGGTGCTGATACTCTGTCTAACCTCTAACTAACTGTCTGTACAGTTGTCTCGGAAGAGTCCGATACAAATATAAAAGGAAAGTCACATGCGTGAATGAATGAAAATAGTAAAGAAAATAAAGAAAATGTCAGATCTCCTCAACTACTCCACCAAATCCGACGATCTTGGGCTCGTCAGAACCACCTCCACAGTCTCTACAACTCCTACTATTACCACGACTCACCAATCCTAGTCCCTGATGCAGTAGGGGGTGAAATGTGTGATAAGTGTTGGTTTGACCTGCACGGACTTGTCCCCACAACAACGTAACTCCACCTTCGGAGCTACCCGCATCCTCCGGTGATCCCACTCACATCATCACTGATTAGTCACCTTCTATTTATGGTACAACTGTGTCTTCTTTTCATTCAGTCGGCTAACCTCCTCTTACCCATTTCTCGTTCCCATTCATCCTCCGGCCTCTTACTCCGCCCTTCTCGACCCGACACCTCAGTTTCCCATTAAGGATTCAGGACCTTTCGGTACCTTTTGGCACCTTTCAGTGTTTTCCATTATCATTTGGACTTTGACTAAAGTCCTTCCCATTCCTCCATATATAAATACTGTAGATTAGAACCTGTAGTTTTCCCAGTTAATCTCAACTAAAATGTTACCCCAAGTCCCTCTGAGTGAATCCCGACCCCTTTCTACAAGATACCTCAGACACATGAAATACAAGGACTGACTGAGACGTAATGGAGGCACAGCGCTCCCTCCGAGTCACTGAGGCTGCATCCTTCTTAGAGCCTCTTGTACCACCCAGCAGAACCGGGCTTCCTGGAGAAGCTTCAGTCCACTACCAGAGCTCTCGGATCCCCTCTAGTTGAGCCCTGCCTGCATTCGGACTCACGCATTTTCCCCTATGTTCAGGGTTTTTGACAGTAGATTAGAACTCACTCTGTTACGTTCTCCTTACAACATCCTCTCACTTGCACCACACAGCAGCGACCCTTATGAACTATACCCGACCTCTGCTACGTTAACACGTCATCATCAAACCCATCTCTCTTGAGCACCGCTTCCTAAGCCCTGGAAGATGGTTGGGTTAGGCACCTTCCTCACCTCACACTTCATTTTCTCTCGTTGTCCCCCTCGCCAATCTCGCCTTCAGCAGCTCCATTGGGATCTCTGATCCTTCGGAACCCCCCAACTTCCGAGCAGCAGCCATAACCTTTGAAGTTACCCACCCATTCTCTCAACTTCCGGTTACACACATAGGCTTCCGACAACGACCAACCCACCACTCATTTACTGAACCTTCGGTTTCCACCTTCCATACCCACACCCTGTCGGCAGATTCTTACACCATCTTACACCCTTAATTCCACAACACAGTGGTGAACCCTGCTACAAACATTTGGACCCGTAAACTCAGCCTGACCTAACCTCCGAACCATTGTTGGTTACCCAGAGTCACACTTCCGACCGTTCCCACTACCAACTCCTCATGTTTTCTTCCTAACCAATACCGAACCTTCTTGCACACTAGTCGGACCCTTTACGCTTCACCAGAAGTTAGAAGCTCTGAGAACAGGATTAGCTTAGGCTCTCCCTTCTCGAGCAACTACACTTTCCTACCAAGTTGCTGGACAAGCACTAGTGTACCCACCGTCGCTAGGCTCATCTATGCATATTCTGTAGCATCCTCCTACTGATGGACTGCTTAGTCTTCTACCCCCTCACCATTATCCCTTGTTGACAACGCCTCCTCCGGACCCCTCCATCGGAGCCATTACCCTTCTGCACAGAACCATTCTTGTCAAGTTATGACCAGGAAGTAACATCCCCACATCCCTGCCTACTTTCCAAACCTCTCTACTCCTACTCTTTTTCCTACTTTTTCTGAAAAAGGTCTAATTTCCTGTTCCAATGTTGTTTCTAAAAACCCATAAAACCCACTCATACCCTCTAAACAACTCCTATTAGTTTACCCTCTACATTAGAAATCCTTTAGTTCTCTCACTTCTCTATCTCGGAGAACTGCGTTCTCCCGAGATCCTTCTTTTGGAGACTCCGTTCTCTTCTAATTGGGAATCCTAGAACCTCAGGGACCAACCTTGCACCGGTCCTACCAAAAACAACCCTGTCGGTCTCACTACTCACCCGTTCCGACATGGAAACCTCCATTCCCACCTAGCT